AAATCGCCTTTTCGCAGGCAAAATGCAACCTGCGTAACGCTTCTTAACAAGGCCTGTTATCAGAAGATAATGAGCATGACACTGGTTTTGCGTATGAAGTTCAAACACAAATAGTTAACTATTTAAAAAAATATCATTTTAAAATTTCAAAGATTCTTTATTTTAATGATGGTTGTGCTGCACAGTATAAAAACCACAAAAACCTTTACATTATCTGTCTCCATAAAAATGATTTTGACATTGATGCAGAGTGGACATTTTTTGCTACAAGTCATGGCAAGTCATCATGTGATGGTATTGGTGGTATTGTAAAAGGATTAACTACAAATGCAAGTCTACAAAGGCCCATAAATGACCAGATATTGAATTGTAACAAAATGTTTGATACTACTGTACTAACAATATTAAAGGGATTATTTTTTTCAAGATTGAAAAAAAAAGACTAACAGAATTGCGCACCATTTTAAAAACACATTTTGAGCTAAGTAGAACAATCCCTGGAACTAGGAGTTATCATCAATGGTATGATCAATGAAATTGATAATATAGAGCAAGATGTTATGGTAACGTTTATGCACCCGCACGGTCCTTTTAATAAACTTTTCTGGCCATCTAGAGTAGATGAGTGTTGGGTTCCGATTACCAACATAACTTGTATAATTGATGCACCTGTAACAACAAATGGACGTTTGTATACTTTGACCGTAGATGCATCTAAGCTAATCTTAGCATTATCTTGACAATTTTTTTTTTTTTTGTATTTTATTTTGTAAATTATGAAGTAAAACGGAACAAGCATAAAGCAATAAAATTTTTGAATACAATATTTTCAAAGTTATCTTAAATTTAAGACACATTTATGTGTTTGAAAAAAAAAATTTTTTTTTAGTGAAAATAAGCGGGGCATGGTCCCCTGTGCCCCAGCCCCATGGACATTCTGGTCATCTGACCTGAAACAATTTTAATGCATGTTCATCAGGACCACACAAATGCTGAAAGTTTCAAAGCTCCAACTAGTCTGGAAGATACTGAAAAATCCATCTCAAGATTCTGATCAAAAAAGTGGGGCACATCCCTCCAGCCCCCTCCCCTAGTGTCTTGGGCCCTTTTTTAATTTTAAAATGCACATTTATTGACACTACATAAATACCAAAATTTTCATCGTTCCAGCTAGTCTGAAAGGTAGTGAAAAATGTATGGCAAGATTACGCTACAAAATAGTGGGGCCTGTGCCCCGTTAACCATATATGGAAATCCATATACTTGCAGATCAAAATTCTTATGTTTTCTGAAAGATCATTAAACATAGAATAATGTGTATAATTTTTTTTTTATATCATCAAGGCCACGTGGCTTTTTTGAGCATCAAAATCAGATATATAAAAAATTGCCTAAATTTATTTAAATTGATAATTACAAGTACTTAAAAATATTTCTGATTATTTCATTGGATTCTTCGACCCTGAAAATAGCCAGGTACAAATTTTTAAGTCAAAAGATCAAATATTTTTAAAGCTATGTGACTTGGAACCTTTAAACAAAGGTCACACTTCTGAGGGGACAAGAGGGGCCTGGCCAAGATCAGTTAAAAGTAAAATGATCATATTTCATGATCCTCTTGGAGCTAGAAGCTAAAATTTTCAAGGATTTTTTGTTTTACTAAGTACTCTCAACTGTATAAAAATCAGCAAAATCTGAAATGTATGGTGACATTTTTGAAATTTTCTGGCTCAATTGACATGGAATTACCCAAAAGCCAGTAACTAAAATACTTTAGGTAGCGCAAATGTTTTTTATAATGTGAAAACCCAATCTAGTTGTGTAAATGTAAGTACGTGTAAATCAACCATAAACAAGTGTTCCCTCATTTAAAAAAAAAAAATAACCATAAAACAAATGTTTTTAAGAAAAAAAAAAAATTAGATTTGAATAAGTATAAGATTTTAAAATAAGGACATTTTTTTATTAATCAGTATTTAAATTTAAATTTTATTTATACATTTTTTTTGTAGCAATATTGTTTAATTTAATTTTCGTTTCAAAGACTTACAACAATGTGGTTTTAAATTGAATTACAATGAGGTATTTTAAAATTCGCAACTAACGTAAATAAACTTTTAATGATGTAAATATCTTTATTTAATAAAGTTAAATCTGTTTTTAGCCTTTATAAACCTTACATTGTGAATAATATAGGATTTATTATTCCTTTATTATAAGATATCTATAATTTGTTTTTTAGTTTAAACTCCTTACAGAATAATCCATAATATTAACCATATGTATAGCTGGTTGGGGTTATACATAAAAAATTATTGGGGAAAGTTAGTTACAAACTATATTTCATTAAATTTCAAAAGCTTTACAAAAGAATAACCATTATTGTTTACCAATCGAATTCTTTGCCTCACAAATGTCTTTATAACAAGCTTTTCACAAATGTCTGAACAAGCTTTTCAGCTCCATTGTTTCCTAACCTATTTCTTAACTTGCTCCACACAATACCAAAAGTAGAAAACACTCATTCTATGGAGCCAGTGCTTACAGGACAACTATGAAGATTTTATGACTTAAAAAGTATTTATGACTTTTAGCCTGTAATCATAGTATCCAGTCAAGTATTCATTGTGCCTTTTATTTAGCTAAGCTTCTGCCGCAGCTTCTTGTTCAATGCCTACAGATTTTCCTTAAAGTTAAATAATATTATATTCCTGTTTTATATATTATAAATGAAAAATGTAAATCCTATATGGATATTATTTATTAGTCATATATTGTGTCTGTAGTCTAGAATCGACTAATGTGTTATGTAAGTTATGTAAATTAAAATAATGTAGTGTCTGTTCTTTCAATTTTGGGGTTAGACTTGGCTGCCATTCTTTGGTATTTATAATAAGTCTTTAAACAGTCTACTTGAGAGGTACATCGTGTATCATTAGGAAGTTGCGGCTCCATTCCTATCATCCAAAAGCCATCCTTTAAATTAAGAACTAGTTTAGTTAGATATATAAACATAATTTATTGAATAAAAGAAAGAAAAAAAAAATTTAGCTATAAAATTAAAATGATATTTACTCACACGTGGTTGGTGATGAATTTGGAAGTATTTGTTAACTTTAATTAAATGTGCCAGAAATTTGTCACATGCTTCTCAACTAAATATAAGCTGTAAGTATAATGAGCTGAGCATCCATATGTAAGTAACAATGGATATTACTCTTTAAGAACTTCTTTCATCTTTACATTTTGTTCTCATTATCTGTACAAATGGCAAATACCCCTTGGATGTCGACAAATATTCTTATATTTTTAGTTAATTTAATTTAAACTAAATACTGATACAGTGTTATTGTACTTACATCTTGCTCATAAACCCTCTTGATGTGTTTTATTGCTTGAATGGCTAAATGAGATTAAATATGGGGTTTTTCTATTAAGTACACTGTGAGCAATCATTTCTGACACTGCTCCAACCATCTTGTATCTATTTAATAGTACTCCTATTATTTTCAAATTCACTTTTCATATATACAATTACTTCATCGATCACTTTATTCAGTAACTCTCTTGAAAGTTTCTACTTTCAACCGGTTTTGAGTATCATAACCAGGTTTCAAAAAACTAACACATTTAAAAAATTAACACAATTCTTTATTTTCTACAGCACTAAACAGATTATTGCATGCAAAAAAAAAATTTGGCAACTTGCTTTTCAAAAACATTATTTTGATCTTAACTTAACCTAGTTTTCTATTAACTTTTGTTTTTATATGGAATTGATGTTGAACCAGAGTAACTACTCCTAAAGACACCAGAAGTGCTTGATGCTTCAAATGATTCTGAAGTAACTGGGCTAACAAAATCATACAAAAAGTTTACAGATGCCTGAGATGATACTTGGCCATCTTTTAAAGTAAAATTCTTATTTTGTTGTGTAACATCAGCAGATGGGTTGTTTTTTATATTTATTTAAATGAGCTCTAATTCTTTCTAATTTTTGGCTATTTATAATTTTATTGCAATAACTGCACTGGCACTGCAGTATTACTTTTGCAGAAACAGTTTTTGATAACTTAGTCATGTCATTCCATTCACCTGCAAGCTTCCTTCCAGATTCCTTCCTTCCAGGAGCCATAATATATATATTCTTATTAATAATTTTTATTTATTCTTCTAAAAACATATTCTGTTATAATTAAAATATATATAAATAATGTTAACTAGTTTAAATCAGGACTTCCAAAAACTTTGCAGTTTTAAAAGTCAAAACATAACTACATATTTCTAGATTTGAGTTTTCAGGAGCTCCAAAAGTGGTTAGAGACTAAAGTTACATAGGCAATAAAAATAAGAACATTTAGGGTAAATGAACTATAAGTTTAGAAATTGAATATTTAATCCTGGTTTATAGCACATTGTATTTTTAATAAAGAAATTTAAAAACAAAAATGGTTTTTAGATATTTAAGAAAATTATTTTTTTAATTTTGTAATAATAGTCAGTTATGAAAAAACCCAAAAAAACCCATTTGGGTTGCGTTTTTTTCAACCCTTATATATATATATATATATATATATATATATATATATATATATATATATATATATATATATATATATATATATATATATATATATATATATAGATAGATATATATATATATATATATATATATATATATATATATATATATATATATATATATATATATATATAAATATATATGTATATATATATATATAGATATATAGATATATAGATATATAGATATATAGATATATATATATATATATATATATATATATATATATATATATATATATATATATATATATATATATATATATATATATATATATATATATATACTATATATATATATATATATATATATATATATATATATATATATATATATATATATATATATATATATATATATATATATATATATAGATACATATATATATATATAGATATATATATTTGTTTACTGTTAGTTCTGATGATGAAGGAGATCTACTTTTTATTGTGAAAGATGGAAAAGATGTATTACGGTGTACAAATGGTAAAAATTATGCTTGATTTTTAAATGTAAAGTAATGAATAATATAGTTTTAATATCCTAATTGATTTGACATTAATCGCTCATCTTTAAAGATCTATAAATTTAGTAAAATCTTTAAAACCCATGAATTTAAAATCTAATAAATTTATCTCTCAAATAATCTCAAAATAAAGTTTTTGTTGTCATAATTGACTGTAAACGTAAAATGGCAGGCAAAGTTGTGGTTTTCAGTTTAAATTTCAAATATTTTTTAAATTTTTTAAGAGTTAGTTACTTGTATATCTGAGTATAATAGTTTTCTAAAAGCTACAATAAACTCATCTTTTTTATTAAAAATTAAAAAACTATATAAAGTCAGCTATTTGTTTTTTTGGAATTTTGGGATTAATCCAAGTTTTGAAGATCTTAAACATCTTCTTTTCTTCACTTTTTTATTTCATCTGTAATCAATCTCTATTCAATTTTTCTTCTTCTACCTTTTTTCTAAAACTGCTATCCCCCTCAGTAGCTTTAAACTTTAAATCAGATAAAGTTCAATTTAATATAGTCTAGATTTTTCTATATAACCCTGAACGGTTTTTCTTTTCTATATAATTATGAATCGTAATCTCTTTTCAATAAATACTTTAATGGTCGGTGCTCTAAAGAGCTAGCGTCTCTTGTACTATCTAGAGAAATTCATTCTTGTGTTACTCATCATTTAATTAAGTCTTATTTTTTACTGTGACTGTTCCTTAGATTCTCTCTCTTCATCTTCTTTTCCTGATTCATATAATTTGTAATATTTTAAGTTGTCTGTTACTTCCACCTCTAATAGTAGTTGGTTGCAGTCTTGTTGGGAAGTGAAGATGAGATGTTCAAGAAAAGGTCATTATAACCTTTCTTGATTAAAATGAGCTTTTCTTGAATACTTTGTATAAAATGTCATATCATTTATATCGTATGACGATATAACTTTATGATACAAAGTCATGATGTACATCGTTTAGCTTTATGATACAAAGTCATAAGATATACATCATATAACTTTGTTATATAAATTCATATGATGTACATCATATAACAACATATTCACGAACGTAAAAAGTGTACTGCATAATGTTTTATGTATATTAAACTTTACTTTGATTTTCTAAATAATTACATGCTTGTTTATTTTTCATATTTTCATTTCAGTCATTCAAAGTTGATTAGCCTTTAAATAGTTTTTGTTAGCTCTGTATGTGTTGCAATAGCTTTGTATTTTCTATTTATATGTACTGCTATTACTTTATTTCTTATTTTTATCACTATTTATATTTAGCATAAATATTTAAAACACAATCTAACTAAAGTGGAATTGTGTTTTGAAGTTTATCCAACTTATAAGTTGTATAATCAATGATAGCATTTCATCATGGTTATTTATTAATCATGTTTAGTTAACCCAACATGGTTGTTGTAAACATCTTTATTTCATTATGGTAGTCATTATAGATATAAATACACAGTTTAAATATATTTTGATAATTTCATAAATATAATATTGTTACCTAAGTTTTTTATTTGTTACTTTTTTGTTGTTGTTGCTAAAAAAGAACTTTATGTTTAATTGCGCAGAGGATAGTGAAGTCACACTAAATACAAATGTATCAAATGAAAATCTTTTGTATGACCCAAATATTGACAAAGACAACGAAAACTGGATGAAAAGAAAAAGAACTTATGGCAAACAAGGTATTTTATTTGCATTATAGTTTCCTGATTAGCCTCACCAATGGGTTGAGAAATGCCAGTAATATTCAAGAATTCTGCTTTGGTTAGGGTTTTTTAGTTAGTTTTTTGGTTTGTAATTTTTTTAGGAAAAGAAATTTCAAAATTAACTTTAATTCATATGGCTTATAACAAAGAATGAAATCTTTAATGTTAATGGTCTAGTAATTAAATAATTTATACTTTCAATAAAAAAGAAGTTTAATAAAGTAAATATTAAAAAAATTTGAAAAAAAAAAGAAAATATGTTTAAAATAAAATTATTTGACTAATAATTAGAATAACAAAAATAATTTAAAACAAAAATGTTAATATTTAATGTTTTTCTTTCTAGCACATTTTAATATTTTCCAGCTCGATCAGATTAGTGTATAATATATAATAATTAGGTGCAAAATAGTAATTATACTTTAGGAATAAACTGCTAAGTACAATTTTCATCAGCCAATATCCTGACCATTTAAGCTCATGTGTAAATCTGGTTGTTGGGCACGCAAAGGTGTATCCTTATCTGTTTTGTTCAAAAATATTCCTTTAGTTTGTTGTATGACAAGAAGTGGCATCCTGCTTACAAAGATTGTATTCAGACCTACAGTAATAATTTAATACCAATGGCTTTTACCAAGTTTCTTATGTTTTTTGTGGGAGTATTAGTTTATTATACTATTATACACGTTGTTTAAATATTTTGGAAATGCATCCCCTAGTAGCTACTAATCCCAATACTGGCTTTTGTTTTTGTTTTATAAATTTACAGTTCATACTTTTTTATTTTTCAATCTTTTGACCAAAAGTATTTTAAAAATTCCATTTCTGATGTTTTTCTTAATTCTACAAAGTAACTTTTTGATCTAATAAAATTTTAAATTATATAATATATATATATATATATATATATATATATATATATATATATATATATGTTATAATATATATATATTATAATATATATATATATATATATATATATATATATATATATATATATATATATATATTATAATATATATATATAATATAATATATATATATATATATGTATATATATATATATATATATATATATATATATAATATATATATATAATATATATATATATACGTATTATATATGTATACATATTATATATATATATATATATATACATATTATATATATATACATAATATATATATATATATATATATATATATATATATATATATATATATATATATATACATATTATATATATATATACATATTATATATATATATACATATTATATATATATATATATATATATATATATATATATATATATATATATATTATATATATATATTATATATATATATATATATATATATATATATATATATATATATATATATATATATATATATATATATATATATATATATATATATATATATATATATATATATATATATATATAATATATATATATATATAATATTTATAAATATAATATATTATTTATTTAGATGAATCAAATTTAAATGCAAATAAAGTCTCTACAATTGATGCTATGCTCAGTTGTCCAATATATTATTAATATATTATATATTATATAAATATAATATATTATATATAATATTAATAATATTAATATATATAATATTAATATATATAATATATTATATATAATATTAATAATATATTATTTATTTAGATGAATCAAATTTAAATGCAAATAAAGTCTCTACAAGTGATGCTATGCTCAGTTGTCCAGCTTGTTTAACAACTGTTTGTGTTGATTGTCAACGGTAACTATTTTTGAGTTAGTTTTATAGATGTATGTTTTCATAAGGAATTTTCTTAAAAATAAATTTTTACAAACACTATTAGAAATTTATAAAAATTTATTAAAACAGTTTTCAATCAAGTTTCATCATTAATTATCAAAAATTGATTCCCTATAAAACACAATATCTTTGTATCAAAATACCCCAATAATATATAATTATAGTAAAATAAAATAGAAAGCAAAGAAGAAATTTATTACAATTTAGACTATTTTTGTATTATATTATTATATATATAACGTATAATAATATATAACGCATTATATAACATACATTAGTTCATGTTGTATAGTAATGTTTAACGTTTCGTTATATAATGTATATTATTATTATTATATCTTATGTATTATGTAAAATTTTAGAACCTCCCGCAGAGATAGTTAATTTGTTTACGATTTTAGACACGAAGTTTACAAGCATCAATTTCGTGCTATGTTTGTTATGAACTGCCGCATCGATCTTAACCAATACCTTCGTTACGAAAACAAAAACATTTCTAAAAAACGGAGAAAAAAATACGGTCCTGGAAAACTTATACCTTGTGAACAATCTATAGCATCATTTCGTGACTCCGTTGAAATAATTTATACTGAAGATAAAAACGAAAATCAAAGCTCAACAAATAAACTAAATATATCCGACAAGCTAAATGAACAATATAAACGCGAAGAAGTTTATAATCCAGTTAAATGCGATATTTGCGCAACAGAAATCGCGGTATACGACTCTCAAGAAGTATATCATTTTTTTAACGTCATTGAAAGTATAGCCTAAATTTTTTATTCACGTTAATCGAAACCGTGACGATGAAAACTATTTATAGTGAAAATAATTTATAGTGGCAAAAAATAAGTTTTGTACGTAGTAAAATAAATGTTAAAGAAATTTGTCTTGAATTTGAAATATTAAAGAAATAATGAATGTCTTGAATTTCACATTTTAAATTTCACATTGAAAATAGTTTTTTAGCTCCCAACAGTAAAAATTTTCCAAACAAAAAATTGTTCTTGAAACCCTAAGTTTATTAGGACTGTTTCCTTTAAGTTCCTATTTTATTTTCAATAAAATTTATAGCTGAACTGGATAAGCGTTCCTTTCCCTTAATAGATAATAAATAAATATTCTTTATATCTTGGCTTAATTGAAATTTTTTCAACTTTCTCTCCAATAATTTTGAGTGATTCAATCATGCCCTTCGTTTTTAGGTACTAGATTCTATTAATGATACTGGTATAGATTCAATCTAATATGCTTGATTGGTAACATATGTCCATTCTGTGAACTGTGCAAAATTTTCGTTGCACAGTTCTCCATAGTAATCAATGTAAGAACTTTATTACAGCGCACAGTGTCATTTTAATAACCTAGGAGGAGAAAATTCCGAATGCAAAAATAAACTGTAGTTTCGCTCATCTATCGTTCAATTACAGGCAAAGTAATTTTAAATTACACATTATTATTAGGAATGATATCTATGACCTTTGATAAAGGGGAACAAGTGCTGGGAGTATTTATCGATCTCTCTAAAGCATTCTATACTGTTGATCACGGAATTTTGCTTTCAAAGCTAAAGCATTATGGCTTTAAAAGCCTAACATATAAGTGGGTTAAAAGTTATCTTTTTAATAGAAAACAGTTTGATGTTTTAGAGGAGTCAGGAGCTCTTGATATTGTTTGCGGAGTCCCACAAGGATCAATTTTAGGACCTTAACTATTTTTAATATATATCAATGATATGAATAAAGCTTCTCATAAAATATCGTCAATTATCTTGTAGAATAAATTTGTACACAGACAATACAAATTTATTCTACAACAATTCTGATGTAAAAATATTTTTCAAAATAATGAAAACTAACCTAGAAAGCTTTAACCAATGGTTTATAGCTATAAGTTATCATTAAGTTGTGAAAAAACGAGTTATATTCTTTTCTATAAAATAAGACAATCATATAAATCTTCCATTAAAGTTGCCAAAACTGTCAACCAATAAAAATAAAATAAATCGAGTAAACCATTCAAAGTATTTGGGAGTAATATTTGATGAGAACCTATCATGGAAAAACATATTAGTCTTATTGAAGCAAAAATATCTTCTGCTATAAGTTTATTATATAAATCTAGGGCCTTTCTTGAATATAAATCACGCAAAATGCTTTACTTTAGTCTTGTTCATTGTCATCTCTCCTACGCTAATACTGTTTGGGCTAACACACACACACAAAACTAAGTTATTAAGATTACAGAGCCTACAAAACCACGCATGTAAAGCAGTTAACTATTTAAAGAGATTAGAAAACCCTTCCCTTTTCATGAAATAATGAATGTGTTAAATATATCAAAATTTAATTCGTTTCAAATATTAATGTTTATGTGTAAATATAAGAATAACTTGCTGCCAAAAGTGTTTTCTGATAAATTTACATCAGCATTTTCACAAAAATACAATCTTTGGTCAAATAACAACCATAACTATCACTTATTAATCAAGGTCCGTCATTATGGAATCAATTATTAACTATACTATCTATATAATAACTAACTACTAACTATTAACAATATTAAAATAAAAAGAGTGTTTTCAATGAAAATACTTGGAATAATTTTTGACGAACATTTAAATTGGAAAAGCCAAATAAAGCTAGTCGAGAACAAAGTCTCAAAGACTTTAGGGATAATGTATAAGACTACACCTCTTTTGAACAAAATATGTTTAAAAAATTTATATTTTTCGTTTATACATAGTCATATTAACTATTGTAATATTGCCTGGGCAAACAATCACTCATCTTTCCTAAAAACTATTTATAAAATAATAAATAAAACCTCAAACTTAACATCAATAATCTTTACTGATGACACAAACTTGTTTTTATCTCATGAAAATACAAATATACTTTTCAATAACATAACAAACGAGCTTAAAAAAGTTTCTTATTGGTTTTAAAAAAATAAACTTGTTTAAAAAAAAATTGGACTTGTTTACTCATAGATCATTGTTTTATCATTTGCTAAAGATGTTTAGAGTGTGAGTTATGGCTCCTCTCTACCTGAGTTGCTAACTTTTACTCCTCTTAATAAATCGTCTTTACATTAATTTATATGTTTTTTTTTTACCTAAATGACATCATCTTTAATCTGTTTTTATTTTTATCTCCCAGCTCTACGTAACTGGACGGCTCCGTTGGTCACTTTTAGCGATCATTGTGTCGCATAAACAAAAAAATTTATTTTTTGTGGCTGGTGATTCCCGACTTTTTCCAATGTACACCACAACGACAAAACGGACATTAGGCTATCCCGCTGGATGTGGTTACGGCGCTCAATAACCTAATGACTTCGCTGACACTCACGTACACGTTCAGTCGAAGCTCCACAATGTACATCGGACCAGCGCTCGCTGACTATGTGCTCGAATCTGAGCTCTCACATCATAGCACATCATTCCACACCAGCACGGGGCATTAGCTCTTTTGGCTCAATTGAATCCATTCTGTAGGTCTTACGTCTAGATCTGATGTGTTAGCCCATAGGCGCAAGAAGTGAGTGTGCTTAGCTTTCTATTCACCCGATTTTAAAGTGAACGGAAACATAACGAGACCATACTAGACGACGAAACGTACGTACTAATGCACTACACCATCACACCTGTAGACATCAACAGTCTTCGAAATCAGTATGTCAAATATTTGTTCTTTGTTACATATGATCTACACACAGAGTGACTAGAGTGTTAGTTGGTTCTCCCCCTGCCCCCGAACATTTAACTTCGTTCTTCACCTTCACAAAAGTAAATGGACACTTTTCCATCCACGCTCAAAAAAAAAAAAGTTGCCAACTCTAATGCCTGACTATTTTATTGACAATATCGTTATTAAAAGAGAAAAAGTTGTAAAGTTTTTAGGAGTGTATATTGATGAAAATCTTGGAAAAATCATATTGACAGTACCTCCTCAAAAGTTGCAAAATCTATTGCCATTATATATAAAGCTAGAGACATATTAAACAAACAGCAACTAACGCAGCTATACTATTCCTTTATTAATTGCAACATCAATTATGCAAATACAGTATAGGGTAGCAATAATAAAACAAAATTTAAATCTCTTTATCATCATCAGAGACACGCAGCTCGCGCAATAAATTTTAAAAACCGTTTTACGCCCTCTAAGCCCCTTCTGCAGGAAATGAATGTTAAATATTTACCAAATAAACGTATATAACATTTTATGTTTTATGTTTAAATGTAAACAAAACTTATCTCCTTGTGTATTTAAAAATATATGTGTAATAAAACCCAAAAACAAGTATGATTTACGTACTGATAATTATCTTAATGCCCCTTTTTGTCGCAATAAGTTTACTCAATTTTGTATTTCTTATTATGGTCCATATCTATGGAACAAAATAGTTATACCTAATATAGATTTTTTTACTAATTTGACTTATAATTATTTCAAACAAAAATTAAAAGAAATTATTTTTTCTCTTGAAAACATCTTTATTTACTTCTAACAATTATATATTTTTCAGTTTTATTTTAATTTTGTTATTTTTACTGTAATCCATATAACTTGACTACGGAAATTGTAAATTTATATTAAATATTGTTGAAACTATAAGTTGTACAGGGCTTCATGATATAATCTATATGATCTTTTAAAAGTCCTTCCATTAATCTTTTATGTACATTATATGTTATTGTAAAGAATTATTATGGTAAAAAAAAAAAAAAAAAACTGAATCATTTAAAGACTCTTGTTTTACACTAGGAGTGTTTATTGATTTGTCCAAGACATTTGATACCGTCAATCATCAAATCCTGTTGAAAAAAAAACTAATATCATATGGTGTTAAAGATAAAACCCTATTATGGTTTAAAAGTTATCTCACTAACTTTAAACAGTTTGTCTACAATGAAAGATACTATATTTCATCTATTAATTAATATAACATGTGGTGTTCCACAAGGATCCATACTTGGTCCTCTTATCTTTTTAATATACATAAATGATCTTCATAAATCATCAAATTTAACAACAATAAATTTTGCAGATGACACAAATTTGTTTTTGTCTCATAAAGATATTAATATGCTTTTTACAAATATGACAAATGAATTAAAAAAAGTTTCTGTTTGGTTTAAACAAAATAGATTGTATCTAAATATAGAAAAAACGAATACTTTTTTATCCATCTTTAAAAAACCAGAAACCACATCATGTCAGACCTTTTAATTGATAATATAATAATAATAAGAGAAAAAGTTATTAAACTTTTCCGAGTATATATTGAAAAAATCTATCTTAGAGAAATCATATTGATAATACCTCCAACAAAATTGCTAAATGCATCGGAACTCTCTATAAAGCAAGAAATCTATGAGATAAACACCAGTTAACACAAGTATATTATTTATTAATACATTGTCATAGAAACTACGTAAGTATTATATGGGGATGTACTGACAGAACAAAGCTAAAATCTCTTTACCTTCATCAGAAACACGCAACTCGCGCAATAAATTTTAAAAATCGTTTTTTTCATGAACCAATTTTTAAAGAAATGAATATTTTAAATGTATATTAACTAAATGTCTTCAATATTTTATTCTTCATGTTTAAAAGTAGAGAAAATTTGTTGCCAAATGTAATACATAATCTTAATTGTATAAAACTTCAAAACAAATATGATCTTCGAATTGATAACAATTTTATTGCCCCTTTTTGTCATAAAAGCAAAGACCAGTTTTTTGTTTCTCACCAAGGTCCTTATCTCTGAAACAAAATAGTCTTACCAAATTTTGATTTTTCCACCCAACTGACTTTTGCTTCATTTAAACAGAAACTTAAAAAAATTATATTTTTAATTGAAAATATCTTGATTTATTTTTAATTGCTTTTTTTGTTGTTGTTGCTGTTTTATTTTGTATATTATTTGGTTTAACAT